CCAGGTCTGTCGAGGCGACAGCGTCTGAATGATACAGCACACGTGCTTGGAGCATATATAAGCTGGGTTGGAAGGGGGGGAAAGAGCGCCTTGACAAAAGAATATGCATATCAAGAGGCATTTAGCATATTTATGGGAAATGCAGGTATGTGATTAGTACTACTCATGCCCGTGCATTATGCAGGATTAGCAGCATCAAAGGGAGGGGATATGGGAAATGCAGGTATGTGATTAGTACTACTTATGCCCGTGCATTATGCAGGACTAGCAGCATCAAAGGGAGGGGATATGGGAAATGCAGGTATGTGATTAATACTACATATGCCCGTGCATTATGCAGGATTAGCAACCAGGGTGTGCCCCACTGAGCTGTGTAGCTGTTTTTCAGAAGCGACTGGCTATCACAAATAAGAGCTCAACGAAGTGACTTGTCATCATCGTCATTACGTGGACATTTATAGCAGCCAAATATTCTCAACGCATGACGTTGGTTCTATATGTCGAGGGAAAAAAACGAAGGACCCGGAGAAAAATCCACGCAACCACGGGGAGGTATTCGCCATGAAAGTTTGCACAGACAAGGAATTTACTATGGCCGGAAGGTGCATACATTCAACATGTAGGAATCTTAAAACTGAAATGAGTGGTATACAGTCAAACTATACTAAAATTACAAAGTCTAACTATACTAAGGGGCTAAAGTATGTAAAATTGTGAATAAGTGTACAATATAAATGTAAACTAGCCATAATATACAATCTAAAATACAAAAATACAAATAGGGTAACATGTTGTAAACTATACAGTCGGGATGGAACCCACGACCTCCTGTAGACCATGCGAGGGAGTTAACATCTCGCCACGGAGGAGAGAGAGACACGCAGACTCCAAATATACAGCAGGCTTCGTCAGGGTCGGGATGGAACCCACGACCTCCCGTATACCACGAGAGGTAGTCAACATCTCGCCGTGTTTGCCTGCAGGCTCCTCCGTGCCGCCGGCCTCCGCCCAGGCTGTGGCGGTGTCGCGCAGCGCTCGCTCTCGCTACGGCCTGCGCCCGCGCGAGAGGAAAGTCTACACAGAGGTGGAGGAGCCCCAGGACGACGACTTCTTCTGTGAGACCCCCTGCTCCCTCTCACTCTCTCTCACTTTCTCACTCTCTCTCTCACACTGTCACTTTCTCACACTCTCTCTCTCACTGTCACTTTCTCACACTCTCTCTCTCACTGTCACTTTCTCACACTCTCTCTCACACCGTCACTTTCTCACTCTCTCTCTCTCACTGTCACTTTCTCACACTCTCTCTCACACTGTCACTTTCTCACACTCTCTCTCACACTGTCACTTTCTCACTCTCTCTCTCACACTGTCACTTTCTCACACTCTCTCTCACACTGTCACTTTCTCACACTCTCTCTCACACTGTCACTTTCTCACACTCTCTCTCACACTGTCACTTTCTCACACTCTCTCTCACTGTCACTTTCTCACACTCTCTCTCACACTGTCACTTTCTCACACTCTCTCTCACACTGTCACTTTCTCACACTCTCTCTCACACTGTCACTTTCTCACACTCTCTCTCACACTGTCACTTTCTCACACTCTCTCTCACACTGTCACTTTCTCACACTCTCTCTCACACTGTCACTTTCTCACACTCTCTCTCACACTGTCACTTTCTCACACTCTCTTAGGGCCGTCCATTAATGGCGTCACGCGATTTTGGACCCCCCTCCCCCCCATCACACGACATCACAAAAAGTCAGACCCCCCCCTCAAATGTGACGTCACAAAGCTCATTTAATATGCTTAAAATCGCTTCAAACTATTGTCATTGTAGTGCATATTTAATGTGGCACTGCAGTCTGATGTTGTAGGAGAAAACATTTATTAAAAAGTATTTAATTAAGTAGAACGTGTTGTCTGTGGTTCCTCACACATCGTCACAAATGTCTGACCCCCCCACCCCCCTAGGTGCATGAAGTCATTTATGGACGGCCCCTTACTCTAACTTTCTCACACTCTCTCCTATCTCTCTCTATTGCTCCCGCGCTCTCACTCGATATATTCCACCTGCTCCCTCTCACTCTCTCTCCCTTTCCCTCCCTCTCACACGCTCCCTTTCTCGCACTCTCACTTACCTCCCTGTCTTTTGCTCCCTCACTCAGGGATGCAGGGAGGGAGCAGGGAGGGTGACAGGGTTTACATCTCCGATGAGCGAGCTAAAGAAGTTCACAATGCAGAGAGGGAGGAAAGGAGGCATCTGTCTGGAGCGCTCCTCACCCTCTCACTCTCTCACAGTGCCACTGCTGCTGCTGCTGTTGCTACTGCGGTTCGCCCTCCTCCTGCTGCTGCTGCTGTGGCTCTCAGTCTGCGAGCTGTGCAGGGATTTCTACCTGGGGGAGTGCTCCGTGCACGGCCCGCCAGAGTTCATTGCAGACGCGGCCGTGGCCCCGGGAGTGGCCAACAGGGCCCGGCTCAGCCTGCCCCAGGGCCTCACCGTCGGCGCCTCCTCCATCGCCGGCGCCGGCCTCGGGGTGTGGAGCAACAGGAAGAAGCTGCCCAAGGGGGTGATTTTTGGGCCCTACCAGGGAGAGGTGTCTGAGGAGAACCCCGTGAGCGAGTACTGCTGGCTGGTGAGCTGCTGCTGCTACTGCTGCAGCCTCCTCCTATTCCTACATCATCGTGTGTGTGGAGAGGAGGCTCGTGAAGGAGATGCAGAGAAACCCATAGCCTCACACAGTCACCCACAGACTTACACAGAGATCTAGAGACTGGCACAGAGAGACCCAGAGACTCACAGAGACCCATAGACTCACACAGAGACCCATAGACTCGCACAGAAACCCATAGACTCACACAGAGACCCATAGACTCGCACAGAGACCCATAGACTCGCACAGAGACCTATAGACTCGCACAGAGACCCATAGATTCACACAGAGACCCATAGACTCGCACAGAGACCCATAGCCTCACACAGTCACCCACAGACTCACACAGAGACCCAGAGACTGGCACAGAGAGACCCAGAGACTTTGCACAGAGACCCAGAGACTCGCATAGAGAGACCCACAGACTTGCACAGAGACCTAGAGACTTGAACAGAGACCCAGAGACTCACAGTGGGACACACAGACTCACACAGAGACCCAGAGACTCACACAGAGAGACCCAGATACTCACACAGATGCTCAGAGAATCGCACAGAGAGATCCACAGTCTCACACAGAGACCCAGAGACTCGCACAGAGACCAAGAGAATCGCACAGAGACCCACAGTCTCACACAGAGACCCAGAGTCGCACAGATACCCTAGAGACTCGCACAGAGACCCAGAGACTCGTACAGAGACCTAGAGACTCACCCAAAGACCCCCAGAATCACAGAGAGACCCAAAAATTAACGTAATTATTTGAACTTGTAACACACAGCAAAGACGGTGGTCACCGCATGGCGCGGCGCTTACAGATGCACTTCTGCGGCCGTCTGGAAGGTTCTTCCTTCCAATGTTAGGAAGCCACTGGGAGCTATGCACTTTAAAATCTTGTAGATTGAAAATGCATTTCTTTAGAACTGCTTTTAGTGTTTAGTTTGTTGTCCTTCCCCCGCACCTCCGATCAGCATGGTTGGCTACGTGCGGTACGAAAGAAGTTCAACTTACAGTCCAACGGACATTAATTATCCGTGGATCCGCTCGTGTGCGTGTGTGTTTCAGATTTACAAAAAACAAAAAGGATCGTGAATATGTTATGCTCAGGATGAATCTAAATCAAACTGGATGAGGTGATTATTGTCTGAAGGACCACTACACAGAGACCAGAACCACTACACACAGAGACCAGAACCACCCACACACAGAGACCAGAACCACCACACACAGAGACCAGAACCACTACACCAGAGACCAGAACCACTACACACAGAGACCAGAACCACTACACACAGAGACCAGAACCACTACACACAGAGACAAGAACCACTTCACACAGAGACCAGAACCACTACACACAGAGACCAGAACCACTACACACAGAAACCAGAAACCACTACACACAGAGACCAGAACCACCACACACAGAGACAAGAAACCAGCACACACAGACCAGAACCACTACACACAGAGACCAGAAACACCACACACAGAGACCAGAACCACTACACACAGAGAACCAGAACCAGCACACACAGAGACCAGAACCACTACACACAGAGACAAGAACCAGCACACACAGAGACCAGAACCACTACACACAGAGACCAGAACCACCACACACAGAGACCAGAACCACCACACACAGAAACCAGAACCAACACACACAGAGACAAGAACCACCACACACAGAGACCAGAACCACTACACATAGAGACCAGAACCACCACACACAGAGACAAGAACCACTACACACAGAGACCAGACCCACTACAACACAGAGACCAACCCTGGGCCTCCCCTTGGTCGACTCGCATCAATGAGCACCCGGTACGGAGCGGGTTCCAGCCACACCACCCCCACGTAGCGCCCAGTGCCGGCCCTTAATAGGCGCTCGCTAACGGCGCCCACCCCGCCCCCGCGTCTGCCCGCGCAGGTTCGTCAACTGCGCGAGGAATGAGCAGGAGCAGAACTGGTGGGCCTTCCAGCACCGAGGGCAGATTTACTACCGCACATTCCGTGCCGTGGGGCCCGGCTCTGAGCTGCTGGTCTGGTACGGCGAGGAGTTCGCCCAGGAGCTGGCATCGCCTGCGAGGCCGGGCCCTCGCGACGCCGCAGCAGCAGCAGCAGCGAGATGCTCCTAGGGCCACCGCCAGAGACCTGCAGCCCGTGCAGCCTCCACCAAGCGAGGAACACCGTGAGCACTGCTCACCAGAGACTCACCACTGCTCACCAGACTATAGCCACCACTCACCAGAGATGATAGCCACCACTCACGAGAGACGATAGCCACCACTCACCAGAGATGATAGCCACCACTCACCAGAGATGATAGCCACCACGCACCAGAAATGATAGCCACCACTCACCAGAGATGGCAGCCACCACTTACGAGAGACGATAGCCACTACTCACCAGAGACGATAGCCACCACTCAGTAGAGATGATAGCTACCATTCACCAGAGATGATAGCGACATCTCACCAGAGATGTGGATGTAGCTACCACTCACCAGAGATGATAGCCACCACTCACTAGAGATGATAGCCACCACTCACCAGAGATGATAGCCACATCTCACCAGAGTTGGTAGCCACCACTCACCAGAGATGACAGCCACCACTCACCAGAGATGATAGGCACCAGCCACACTGATAAGGTGGAAGTGAGTAACTGGTGTGGTGTGTAGTAGTAAACATCGCCACTGGGGAGACAAAGGCGGCTATGTGTGGTGCTGGCCACCCTCCCACTCGTGTGCCGTGTTGGCTTTCATTGGTGCCCATAACAGCACTTGTCCCAAAAGTATATACAGGCTATATGGGGGTTCTTTGTCTTTGTGTGTATATATAATGGAGCCCACTGCACTACGAACCCGGCCACCTGAGTTCGATTCCCACTCACGGCCAACGTCAGTGGTGAATATTTAGGCCTCCCCTAGGCTGACTCAGCCTCAAATGAGTACCTAGCTTAAACGTGGAAACATCGCCACTGGAGAGACAAAGGCGGCCGGGCCTGGTGTTGGCCACCTACTCCCTCGTGTGCCATGCCGGCCTTCATAGGTACTCGCAAACAGCACTTGCCCAACAGTCTGATATGGCTGTGGGAAACCTTTACCTTTGTGTATACACACACGTGTGCAAGAGTGTTCATGTCTAGATGTTGGTGTGTGCGCGTGTGTCTTGTTCCTCTGGGATGACGCAGGTGGAGTGGGTGTGGAGGTCACAAGGCTGCCGTGTCCTGCCTGCAAACCGTCAGTTCATCTGCCGCTCGAGTCTACAGTATCACGTGCAGAGCAGACACCCCACTAAGCCCAGTAACAAAAGTCATCAGTGTGACCAATGTCCATACAGCACAGACTACAAGAGTACCTTGAAGAAGCACCAGAGAACACACACGGGAGAGAAGCCGTTCAAGTGCACCGTGTGTGAGAAGGCGTTTGCACGGCTATCACATCTTCACAGCCACCAGAGAACACACACGGGAGAGAAGCCGTTCAAGTGCACCGTGTGTGAGAAGGCATTTGCACATTTACAACATCTTCACAGCCACCAGAGAACACACACGGGAGAGAAGCCGTTCAAGTGCACCGTGTGTGAGAAGGCATTGCACATTTACAACATCTTCACAGCCACCAGAGAACACACACGGGAGAGAAGCCGTTCAAGTGCACTGTGTGTGAGAAGGCGTTTGCACAGCTATCAGATCTTCACAGGCACCAGAGAACACACACGGGAGAAAAGCCGTTCAAGTGCACCGTGTGTGAGAAGGTGTTTGCAGACCCATCCAGTCTTTGCCGGCACCAGAGAACACACACCGGCCAGAATGCATTTTCTCATTCCCGTGGAAACAGAAAAGTCAGCCATCCTGAGCAAAAACGCGCACAGCGCCGAGCTGTGAATTAGTTTTAAACAACAGGCCACGTGACTAGCCGAGGCTGTGCCACTCTTGAAACTGATTTTGAATGTGAACACGGAAACCTACGGACCCTCCTACACCTGCCTCACACTCTGTGGGGGGTGGGAGATTAAACCGACCTGGCCACCCCTCGATTGCAAGTGCGGAGTTCTAGGTCCCAACCACTGCACGTGTCCCCCCCCACCCCCATCACCTGGGGGTCCCTGTGTGTGTGAGTGTGCAGAGTCCCCCGTGCAGAGCTGCACTGTTGTTACCCTAGAGGGGGACACCGCAGGGCGATCCACCTACAGATACCCCAGTCTGCACGTCTCCCGCCGGTCTCCATGCGCAACCGCGTGCCGTCTCGTAGCCCTGCCCCGTGCGACGTACGTACAGTACGTACAGTACGTACCCATCCAGCGGTAGACTGAACCGCGGCCGATGACGAAGGTGGCATCCGCTCACAAATCTCCGTGCACTCAGTCCCGTAGCCCTGAGCCATCGCTTGCGCGATATTCACTTTGCCGCTGAGAGGAAAGCTACGGGGAGGAGGTGGGGGGGGGTGTTAGGAGAGGACATCTGTGGAACGGCTGGAGATCTGCGAAGAAGAGCTTCATAGCTCATCGGATTCCTGCGGTCTGAAAAAATATTCCGAGAGGGCGTTGGGGGAGGGGGGTGTAGGTATGATTGGGGCATCTGCACTTGGATCACCCTGCGTGTTGTTGCTGCCTCCCCCGTTGAAAATGTTCCCAGCGTGAACTTAACCCTTTGCCGTCGCGACGACGCCGCGCGCCGTGCGTGAACGTCGTCGTCGGAATAACAAAACGCAGTAAAAACTAAAGCAACATTATCGGTACCGAGGCTCCCACAGGGCCACGCGGGGCAGGGAGTGTGGCACAGTTTTCGCGCCGGCTAGCGCAGAGTGGCGGCGGTCCGTGTCGCTACGCTTCTCTGCGGTGAGCAACGACGTCTTTATAACAACAACAGCAGTGCTGCTGCTGCTGCTGCCACTGCTGCGGTGAACGGTGACAGCCACCCCGTGACCTGACCCCCACCCCGTGAACGGTGACACCCACCCCGTGAACGGTGACACCCACCCCGTGAACGGTGACACCCCATGGGTGGAAAAAAACCCGATTTTTCCAGCTGCAGGCATCGGGTTTTTTCTTTAACACAATTAAACCCGATTTCGGGGAATTAAAACCTGGTTTAATGAATACGAAACTCTGATAGGCTTAGGCTGCTTCCTCGTCGGTGCTGCTATGGTACTCGGGGCCGTCGGGCACGGGGTAGTCGTAGAATGCGGCGGGCAGGTTGGTCTTAATGAACACGAGCTTCTCCACAATCGTGGGCGCCAGTGAGTTCCTTAGCTTGGAATGGATGAAGCCCATCGTTGAGAAGTGCGGTTCTGCAATTAGAACCAATGAAACCGGATTTCTCTCAATCTTAGATGATCGGGTTTAATATAAAAAGACAATTAAACCCGATTGTAAAAAACCCGACTGTGCCACCCTTGTGACACCCACCCTGTGAACGGTGACACCCACCCCGTGAACGGTGACACCCACCGACCCTGCAACTCTGCAGACGTCTCGGACGCGGGAAAGGGTTGAGAGATTTTCTGCGTCCCGGTTGCTCGCGTGATGTCGCACGGTGGTGGCGCGCGTTGACTCTTGCACGTTTAAGAAAGTTGAGCGTTAGTTTGTGATTCTGTTTAAAATGATATATATACATAAACTAACAAACATTATCTTGGGATTCTACCAAGTAAGGTCCAACTGGATACGTAGTAGCTCTTTTATCAGACGCGACCACCTGGCCATCACAAATGAAAGCTCAACGAAGTGGCTTATCATTGTGTGGACATTTATAGCGGCCAAATACTCTGATTGCGTGATCTCGATTCTAAATGTCGAGGGAAAACCGGAGGACCTGGAGAAAATCCACACGACCACGGGGAGAGAGAGAGAGAGACGCGCAAACTCAAAATATACAGCAGGCGTCAGGGTCGGAATCAAACACACGATCTCCTGTATACCAGGAGAGGTAGTTAACATCTCCACATGTGTTCAGAGTATTTGGCTGCTGTAAATGTCACGTGATAAGCCACTTCGGTGCGCTGCTGTCATTTGTGATAGCCAGGTCGCTACTACACAGCTCAGTGGGGGCCTTACCTGGAAAAGTAAAATGATTAATAAAAATCTACTGTATTCTTGGTTCTTTTGGTAAAGTCACGTAGAAGGGAAATAATAAAATAATAAAAATGTAAGAATCAAATTAACACGACGTTTCGATTGCAACACAAGCAATCATCAGTTTATGAAAACCCACAACAACAAAAACAATATTGCTGTGGTTTTCACACCTGATGATGATTGCTTGCGTTGCAATCGAAACGTCGTGAGAATTGTATAGTTTTATTTTTATCATTTTATTATTTTCCTTCTACGTGACTTTACCGAAAGAACCAAGAATATGAATCCCTGTAGTCACGAAATCTTCAAATCGAAAAAAAAATCTCTTCTTGGTTCTTTCGGTAAAGGCACGTAGAAGGGAAGTAATAAAATAATAAGAATAAAACATAATAAAATAATATGATATAATAAAATAATATAATAATATAACATATTATTATATAAGTCACTTATAAGGCAAGTAATAAAATAATAAAAATAAAACAATAATTTAATATAATAAAATATTTTATTATATTTTGTTTCATTATCTTTTATTTTTATTATTTTATTACTTCCCTTCTACGTGACTCTACCGAAAGAACCAACAATATGAATCCCTGCAGTCACGAAAGCTTCAAATCGAAAAACAAAAATCTCCTGTTGAGAATGACCTCACCGGACCGGTGGAGGCAGCGCTGCCGTCTTGGTCCCAATTGGCAGCGGCGGCGTCTCGTTGGTTGTGAAGGCGGCCCAGCTCACACAGCCCGTGCCGGTGCAACAGGCCGTAGTCTACCCGGGGTTCAAGCGGCCTAGGCTACATTGTACCCGGGTGTATCATGGCCGAGGCCAAATTATACCCCTCTAGGCCAAATCATACCCCCATGATAGTAATAGTGTTGAGCGATATCTTCTTGTTTAGTGCTGCCTAACGGCGTGTGCGACTTCACGATGATATTGGTCCCGGTCTAGCACGGCGTGTAGAGTTTGTGCTGTTGTTAATTGTAGCCATGTTTTGATGTTACTGAGCCATGTCGTTTTTGGCCGTCCTGGTCGTTTTTTCCCTTCGATTTTTC